GCAGTTAGTGTTGAAGCAGCCATGTCAGAGAGACGTTGTGTGTTTCAGTGCGAAAGCAAAAGCACTTTATTTGGCCTTCTGGAAGTAGATGCAATTAGGAATCATTGGTTAAGATTTATTTACAACAGAACAGCACAACCCAGATGTTCGAATTTGTGCAACGCATTTTATGGACGAGTTTTGTGAACCTAGGAGAGTACGAGGCTGGCTGTGCACAAAGGCTATTTCAAAAAAAAAAAAAGGGTAAATTCCGACTTTGCTATGACAATATGGCGCTTCTGAATCAGTGACTGTAAGTATGTTTTGTTACTAGTTTAAGTATTTGCTATTGACTGTTCAAATGCGGAGTTTTGCGCAGCGCAGAGTAACGCGTCGTGTGTGTGTTTGAGTGTGAGGGGAACAGGGTCACATCACAGGAGAGTGAACTGCCTGTCAGAAATCATAGCACATCAGCTGTCTTAACCGCGGCTTGTGTACTGCATCATCACTGTGTCTGTCTCTGTCTGACTCTGTTGCCCTTTCGGGCTTGAACTGATGGTAAAACTAACGACATCATTAACTGTCTTGATATTTACTTTGAAAGCTGAAGCTCGCGAAAAAATTGAAAATTCACCTTAAAAATTAGTAGCAAACAATCACAAGAAGGATTTTCTCTATTACAGCATTAAACTGCACTCTTGAGAATGCTGGAACCTTGTGCTGTCGATGATTCTGCTGATTCTTATTCATACACCAGATCAAAAGAAAAAAAAAAATACAAATATTCATGTTAAGTAAGTTAGTAGTTCCCTTATTAGACATTTCTATGGAGGCCTTCATTTGTGATACCCCAAATGACAGAATAATACTGTGCAGAGCTCTATGAAGAGTACATGAAGCGCTAGATTTAACACAAAAGATCACAGTAAATCTCTTTTTGGGCTCATTAAACAGGACAAGGTACAGAAGCTAGATTCGATTTTTCAGTGTACTTGACTTAAGCAAAATTTGAGCATAAGAAGAGGAATGTATTGAGCCTTACAACTTCATGAAGCACAAATCAAACGTATAGCATGAAAACCGGCGTACACGTTAAAAGATTGTGTCTGGCATTTCAAAACTGTTGGTCACTATTGTATAATGGAAATGTATGCAGTATTGGAAAGAGAAATAAAAAAATATTTTGTAATCTATACACATAGTTGGACTGCCTTTTACAAGCTCAATTCTCATTTTTGATCTCAAAACACGATGATTTCACTTTTTCTGCAAAAATCACGCGTCGCATTGATCCCTTTGAGACTTATAAAACATTATTTTGACGTAACAAGGTTCATTTGAGATCTCGTGGGAACAAAGCGTCTTGCGTCTAATTACTCTCCTCTTTGGCTTGTGCTGACGCAGTTTCAGAGTTTGATCCCTCATATCTCTGGGTGGCAATGGTGGCCTGTTGGGACATACTTCTCCTCACAATATCTCCTTTCCTCCAAAGTGTGATCTCCTGTTGAGAATGAATAGCAATGTATTTTACTCATTTGTAAGTAACAGGTAATGTGTAATGTTACATTATATGTGGAATCCGGACCTGTTGTTTGAAGTATCGTCGCTCTTCTTCATCTATAAGGACTAGGTTCAGGTAGTAACGCACAGAGAACTTCTTGTTGATGTCCCTCATGGTGGGCGTCAACTCGTATCCAGCGAGAAATAAGCGGATGGGGATCGACTCGCCTGAAAAGAATAAGGGAACGGAACCATAACATTAAAGGGATAGTTCACCCAAAAATGAAAATTCTGTCAGTAATTACTCACCCTCATGTCGTTCCAAACCCGTAAGACCTTCATTCATCTTCGGAACACAATTTAAGATATTTTTGATGAATTCCGAGAGCGCTCTGACCCTCCATAGACCGCAAGAATCCTAACACGATCAAGGTCCAAAAACATAGCAAGGACATCGTTAAAATAGTCCATGTGACATCAGGGGTTCAACCGTAATTTTACGAAGCTACGAAAATACTTTTTGTGTGCAAAGAAAACAATAATGACTTTATTCAACTATTTGTCTTCTCGCAACGTATGTACCCGGATACGTTGTTTACATTCAGATCAAAGCGTAAACAACGTATCCGCATACATACGTTGTTTACGTATGTGATACACTCAAAAATGGCGCTAGGGTGACATGGAGGAGACGAATTGTTGAATAAAGTCATTGGGCCTCATTCATGAAACATGAGCAGAACGAACTCAAGCGCCACCAGCTGGTCGTTTTAAGAAGAGCGCCTGACATTTTTTCAGCTGGCTAAAAACGCTTTGGTGGACACACGTTATTAAATATTTATTGTTAGGCATATGGCCTAAAAGTCTTTTTTTGTATTTATGCAATATACTGGAGCTAAACCTGAGAAAGTAGACCAGAATATTCCACTGCGTTCCTGGACACGCAATTTGCGTAGCTGTAATTACAGGCGAGGATTATGGTAAGTTAATTGTGAATGAGTGTGCACGAGCGCCCTATTTATGAATCATTGGAATTCATTAACAAACGCATGTTTAACTATCAAATCGGAAGTTTACGAAGCGTTTGTGAATCCGGAGGAGAGTTTTCGTGAAGGTCCGTATTAGACTCAAATTACTCAGAATTTACTCCTATATTTACGAATGTTTCATGAATGAGGCCCATTGTTTTTTTTCTTTTGCACACAAGAAGTATTTTCGTAGCTTTGTAAAATTACAGTTGAACTCCTGATGTCACATGGATTATTTTACCGATCTCCTTGCTACGTTTTTGGACCTTGATCGAGTTAGGATCCTTGCTGTCTATGGAGGGTCAGAGAGCTCTCGGAATTCATCAAAAATATCTTAATTTGTGTTCCGAAGATCAACGAAGGTCTTACGGGGTTGGAATGACATGAGGGTGAGTAATTACTGACAGAATTTTCATTTTTGGGTGAACTATCCCTTTAAGTGCATGTGAAAATAATACATTTCAGAAAAGTGTCTAAACAGAAGCCACAAAAAGTTAATACAATATGGACTCTATAGTACCATAATATAATACAGATGAAAGGTTTAGCTTTACCTCTCACCGGTGCCCCATCCATGATCTCATATTTGGCAATGGTGTCATTTTCGTGGTACACACTGGGTCCTGTTCCAGTCGTTTCCCGTTTTATTATATCGATTTCCATGTGTTTAATCTTTATCCTCACAAGAAGGAAGTAAATCTTTCCTACGATAACATCCCTCAGATGGTATCTAAACCGGACGCAAGGAATTATATTATGACGGGAAATTATATTATGAATAAAAAACATTCAATTTTAGGACTCGTAGGACTATTTTTGCATTGTGACATTTAACAAATTATATATAATTATATACTTTGTATGCAATATTATTAAAGGGGTCATATTATGCGATTTAAAATTTTCCTTTCTAGAGTAGACTACAATGCTGGCTGTTCTGACTCAAAGACTGTAAGTAGATTTTTTATATTTAAAGAGTTTTTTATATATTTAAAGCGAGTTTTTTGGGCAGTGTAGAGTAGGGCTTGTTGTTTGTAATTTCTCCGATCACAAATGCAGACATGGTTTTATGTTTACGCGGCGTGATGTAATGCGTAAAAAGACAGTATAAGTCACTGTAATCCATAATTATGTCCCCACTGGATGCAACGAATGCCTCGTTTATAATGGGTTTTCATGTTTCTGAATCATCGCTCCGGCCGGACAGGGCATCATCACAGTATGGTAGGGGCATAACATTTCCGTCACACGCTTGAGGTATTCGGCCAATCATAACGCACTGGATAGCTGGCCAATCACAGCACACCTCGCTTTTCAGACCGATGAGCTT